CTTTGCTCTTCCATAAAGCAGCAGTTTCCATCTTCAAATAATCAAAATAACCTTGATACCCTGACGAAGCATGTCTATTGTTTCACAACGAATGTCCCAAGGGATTTTCGTATTCTCAATTTCTCAAGATAAACGTCCCAAGGTTGTTGTTTTTTTTTACTAGAAGGACATGTCTTTTGGCAGCATTTCTTGTATTAATTTCCATTGCACAAAAAGTAGCAAATACTGTTACTGAAGCACAGAATTTGCATGATTTTTTTTTCTCTCCGGCCATTCACGCAAACTGCAAACGAAGTCTTTTATCTCGTCCATAGTTGCTGACACTTTGCAACCGCCTTGATGGATGTATTGTGACGTATTTTGACCCTCGATTCTGACCTTGCATTCTGGTTACATTTACCGCCCTTTCATACCACTTCAGTTTCCTTTCATCATTTCATCCAGATTCCACGATATTTAATATTTAAAACCAACCTTCATTTCACAGTCACTCTAGTTTTTACTTTTCTAAAATTATTTTACTGATCAAAAGACTTTCCACTCCCATCATGCAATCCCCCATAGTACTTCCGGAAACACAGAGGCGATGGCCAGCATATCTACAAATAACCTCGCTCTCAGGAGCTGAGGAATTAAATCCGATTATAATTTAGTCGCTATTTATTCTTTGCAAACAAAACTAATTTTCTCCCTGGGGAGCCCTCTTTTCCAATTTCATCATTACATTCCCCTAGGAAGCCCTAATTTCTTTTTTCAGTTTCAATTCTAGTGCGATTTACATGTTCATATCTTTGTTAAGGTAACACCGGGGGGAAAATGAGTTAAAAGTTGATCTGTGATTCATTCTGTAAAAGTTACTAAGCATGCTAACAACCCATACATCACATGAATGGTTAAATATAGGCTAATTCGACAGCCTACATGCCGTGACAATGTTTGTTTAAAGGATTACCTGAAGGCTGATTACGCAGCTTAGTTTTTTTATATTCAGACTTGGAAATTTTCAGTCACGGGAATAACGTGTGTATTGCAGAGGGCAATCGTAACGCAATGGGCTTGAAGATCGCCTCTCAGTTTTTTCTGTTTCTTTACTCAACTGACCCAGCTCAATAATCGTTCTTGCCACCGGAGCGAATCTTCGCTTTGGGACTCCGCGAAACGTCTAAGAAGCCTTACAAAACCGTGGTTTACGACGACGTTTATTATACAGCGCTTAATTTATCATAACCATTTTACTCACCTTTATCTGTGTTTCAATTCAAAAAATCGTAAAAATTAGAGCTATGGAACAAACTTCCATTACTTTTACATGTACCTTTATTGACTGTTAATCTCACTTTATTGTATTTTACTGCGTCTCATTAGACGTGTCTGTGTACTCTGTACGACCAAAATGTTCCAAAAAGTAAACGTGTGGTAGTCGTGTGAGGGCGCTATTTATGTTTTCCAACATCTATGTCCAGGCGGCAGGGTGAGTAAGGTTTACATCACAGTCCCTCTACAGGTAGAGTTAGATTTACATTACAGTCCCTCTACAGGTAGAGTTAAGTTTACATCACAGTCTCTCTACAGGTAGAGTTAGGTTTACATTACAGTCCTTCTACAAGTAGAGTTAGTTATTTGAAAGTTTAATTTACAAAAAATTAATGTGTATACACACTTTTTATAATTGTTATTTACAAAGACCTTTTTTTTTACAAATTATGTAAGAATTATTAATACATTTTGCTGCATTTTAAAATAACATTCTTTATAAACACTGTGGACGGAAATTCAACACTGACTTTACAAAATACATGTAATGAACCAATAATGCAAACAAATGTTACTATGGTAACCAACATACTATTGTTTAAAGAGAGTACCGTACTGATTTTATTTTGGTACTTTGAATGTAGTCTCTAAGTATAAAACAGAAAAAACACTGATAAAAAATCTTGTAAACTGCAACAATGGTACCATATTCATGGTGACAGATTATTTTTATTTGCTTGAGTCTTGACAAAATTAGGTCCAAATATATCAACTTAGAAAAGTTTTAAATTTAATAAATAAACAATAGAAAAAACTTTGGTTTAAAGAAAAGAATCATAATAAATATAAATACAAATTATATATTTCAATGTATATTTTCTATAATGATTACATAATCATATTTTTGTACCATACTACCGGTAACTATTTTTGTAAACAAAATAAAAGTAACAAAGAATTTATGCATGTCATCAAAAATATTCGTTTCATCTACTCATGTAATCTTAAGGGTTACTAATTAAAACAGGGCACACATGTGTTATGGATTGGAATCAACAGACTAGGAAAATGCAAATCTAAACACAAATTCCATGACAGTATTGTCTGTAATATCAAACCTATCTATGGTGGACAATACAAAAATAAAACTTCATGATAAAGATTGAGGGGGTACCAGTTTCCAATTAAAAAGTGACTGCATATTAATAGATTATATTAATATTAACATATTAATAGAACTAAGACCCAAATGGTGGCTGAGATCTCATCAAGTGTGAGAATGCCATAAGACACAGGTACACAATGAATGTGCAGCCATTATTTCTCTGTAATAAATTATAATAATAACCTTGTTACTGTAAAATACTTTATTTTACAGTAAATTTTCGCTGAAATGACTTTTTGGGTGTTTTGTATGGAATTTATTTTCACTGATTTTTGACGAGTTGAATGTGAAAAAAGGTATATTTGCTGGATTCTATTTTCATTAAATAAAAACAATAGCAAAAAATAATTCCAAGTGAAAGTATTTTACAGTACTCCCTGTGTACCACCTGGGGGCACTGTGCGGTAAAGACAAAACATAAATACATTAAACAGACAAAAACAAATAAAACATTATGTGAACTGGTAATCTGTACTGAACCAGAATTAGGTAAACAGTAGTACTGTAAAATCTGTATTAGAAGCTGCATCCCTAATAGAAGTCACACTCATCCTTTTTGAACAAATAAGAACCAAAAAATCACAATTTCTCATTTGTGTAGATGCTCTAATAGAAGCTGCATCCCCTCTGTTGCATTGTACCATTTTACTAGAAGCCACGGCTTCTAATACAGATTTTACAGTACAAGATCATAAGGTAGAGTCCATTTATTTCTGTCAGTTTTGGTAATTTTCATAATGCATTCTGAATAATGATTAGTCCTTTGCAGCTGAGTACGAACTATATTGGATCCTCTCCAGTTTTCACCTCCAGAGGATGATGTAGATTGGTATGATAATGTGACATAGCAGTACTGTGAGGTTATTACGAGGATACCCCAAAGTATGCACGAAGTACAGCCGGCAGTATTAAGTGCTTACTTTGAGGTATCCTTGTAATAACCTTATTATTATACATCTTTTCCTTCCAAAGATACATCATTGGAATGCCGAAATCCAAAAAGATTAGAACAGAATTCGCTTCCTTGTGTGGAGCCGGACTCTTGTGGCAGTCATGTTTGTTTTTATTATTAGAGGACGCTTACGCTCGTAATCATTCCATATTTGGAATTCGCATTTCCTAATATGGTAGGATGAAAATACCTCGTAAAATATCGCAAAATTACGGTATAATGTAACTTAGGGAATTACGGTGACCGATGTATAATAATAGACATTATGAACTCATTATTTCCGTCGTACAGCTGCAGCAATTCTCTGACGACTGTCATCAACACTGCCCTCTTTGGGCTTAACATGGGCAGGTTTAGTCGGTGGCATACCAACTCCATCAAACCCAACACTGACATTATTCGACCTGATGCGGAAAACATTCTCTTGTCCTCCACTGTGAAGTGCTCCACTTTGCTTCCCAGAACTTCCACTATGACCACTCAACTTCCCAGAACTTCCACTATGACCACTCAACTTCCCAGAACTTCCACTTTGACCACTTAACTTTCCAGAACTTCCACTTTGACCACTTAACTTCCCTGAGCTATCACTCAGTCCACTGAGCATTCCACTTTGTGCACTAAGTTTCCCGGTACTTCCCCCATGACCACCCAGAATTCCATTCCCTGCACTTTGTCCACTGCTGCCACCCTCATTGTGTCCACCTAAATTATTGCCTAGTACTGGACTACCAACCGTAGTATTTGTGATACTCTCACTGCTAACTGTCCCACTTATACTACTAGAACTAGTTTTTCTCTTGAGAATCCCAGGATCTTTGATAAATGTTTTTTGATTTGAAGGCCTGGGACTATTTACATAACCACCTGATGGTCTGTTAATCTGTAACAATTGTTCCCTGGCTTCACTCAAAGCTTCTGTAAGTTCAAATCTCTCTTCACATTCTCGTCTGACAGTATCTTGAAGAAAAGTGACCTGCAACAACAAATTGTTATAGATAAGTTTTTCCACATGACTTAAATTATCCAAATTGCATTTTTTAGATCAATGCAAAAGTTAGGAAAAGCCAAAATTTAAATCCATCGGGGAATAATGCAAAATTTAACTTCATTAGGAACAGACACAAAACTCCATCAAGAAAAACCACAAAATTTGATTCCGTCAGGGAAAGCCACAAAATTTTGTAGTTATTTAGACTGGTAGCCATAGTAACTACTCAGTAATGCATGTGATTTAGTAAATGCTAACATATCTCCTAAATTTTTGAAAATTTTTGTAAATGAGAATTAATAATTTAAGAATATAACCTGGATTCAATGCAATGACATGATAAAGCAAAAACTCTCACATGACAGCAAAATTGCTATTTCAAGAAAGATGATTGTTTTTATGATAAAAGTCATCTCTTACTTCTTCCTTAGCATGTTCATACTTGTCTTCCAACTGCTTTAGTTCATTTTTGGTTCCCGACAAATCCAGTTCTGCTTCTCTCAACTCAGCTCTCAACGCAGTGATGACATCATCGCATTCAGTTCCTGATTTAGCTAAAAGTTACAATAATACTTTTAGTCCAGTGGCTGATAAACATTTGTGTCATCGCTGTAGACATTTTCATTATCATCTTCCTATTACTCAACAATATGCTTCAAGAATGAATAATGATAAGGACAGACAACTTAGCTGATATATGGTGGAGATCTCATTACAATCATGAGGAAATGTGCTATGAGTGAGTTTTGACAAATATCAGACAAATACTAAACATGCTAATATTATAATAATGCTTTATTTGGCAGCACTTACCAAATGGAATATTTTTTTTTTTTGGCAGAATTTGCAAAAAGGAAATAAACTTCACAGAGAAACAAATTTACCAAGCTTACTACTTGGATATAAGGTACAAACGTATTCAAATCAAATCAAATCAAATCAAAACAAAAGTCAAAGTCAAAAAATAAATCACTTGTTTTGTTTTTACTTAATAATGAAAATTATCAATTTGTGTCCATGTACATACTTTATTACTAGCACATGTACAATGTAATGTTTGTATCAATAGAGCAAATACAGTACACATTATGATAAGTTCATTATTTTTTCTAGTTGTTAGTTAATGTTAATTAAAAAAATGTTAGTTAATGTTAGTTAATGGACATTTTAAACTACACGCACATTATTGTTTTTCGATTTTTTTCTCTGAATAACTGTTTTGATTCTAGCCAGGTAACCCTCTTCAAAATTACTGGTACATCCCTATATCTGATCATCTCCTACCTAGACTGTCTTCTAAATTACTAATGATATTCTTCAAACTCTGTATCTCTCCTTTAAAAGATGATTCATTATTGATCCCATGATGCTTTGCTTCAATAATCTGACGTTCCATTCGACTGATTTCCATTCGATGTTGACTGTTCTGATTGCGTATTTCATGTCGCAGCTGAGGAGACAAGATGCAAATCGATATCATCAGGAATTAACTTCCACTGTCCCAGTGACATTAATAATGATAGAACAGTGTGGTAAAAAGTAATAAACTGATCCATTTGGGACATTATTACTTTATGGCACTCACTTTCAGTTCTTTGAAATGGATGTAGGATTTGAAGACAGTATGTTTATGATATCATGTGTTTGAAACATATTTCATATTACTGTAAAATGACTAATTTTCACTAGGTTTAAATTTCACTGATTTACCATTTCAGGCATATTCAGTGGGTTTTAAATTCACGGTTTTATCATTTAGATAATATTTTCTATGCTAAATTTTACATATTCACTGGGTTTTAATTTAGCGCATTTTCCAGTCAGCGAAATAAGCAAAATTAAAACCCAGTGAATAATTAATCCCTTTAATGAAGTTTAATGAAGGTGAAACATAAACTTTTGGGATACTGTAAAGTTATTCAATTGTGTGAAGTCAATAATTACGTCCACATAAATGACCTCAAATTGTGGATGCACATCATTTTTCAGACAATCACATTAATGAAAATTGTGATAATAGGTAATTTAAAAGCATAACATTGGTGCTGTTGGCCACTGTAATATAACATTGTTGTAATGGGAAAGTCATCTGTAAGTCTAAAATCAACAAAGATGCTAAAAACAATATGATAATTACGTAAAGAAAACAAGACTATGACAGAATAAATAATCTAGAGTGACAGCTGAATTGACCTTTAGCAGAAGTCTTAATTATTCAGTGTTGTAACAGATCATGTCTGAACATGTTTTGCACCACAATTTTTCAACATATGTTCATGCTCAGCAAGAATCAGGGAAATCTAGGAAGAAACAATGCGATCCTCACTAGAAACTAATCTGCAAGCATCTAGGGGGATAACTTAAAATGCAACTTTTAAAATCATGTAAAACCAAAATGTTGATATCTTACAAAGGGAATAACAAACAGAATGTGGTTAAACTGATGCAGGAATATTTACAGATTTCTCATGAAAACAATAAATTCTACTTTTAAGTAAACATAATACATGTAAGCTATAAGTTGAGGGCGTGCAGCTCACCCTATAACAATCCATTATGTCCAAGTGTACTTTAAAAATAAAACAAGTGTTTATTTGTTATGCTAATTATATGCAAATTATTCATTCTCGTAACCATGGTTGCCAGTAATTTTACTGACCTGACTCATTTGATCTTCATATTCACGTTGATACTTATCAAGTAGCTCTTGATGTTTCTGTTTCTCTATTTCCAGCTCCTTAAAGACAAAATCATAGCAGTTGTCAAAGCATGCTGGTCTAAACAGCGCCATCT